CTCTGGAAGAGGTGGAAACATTCAAGTACCTGGGGAGCATCGTTGATAAACAAGGAGGATCGGATGCAGATGTAAAGGCGAGGATTGGCAAAGCAAGGGCAGCATTTCTACAATTGAAGAACATATGGAACTCAAAACAACTCTCAACCAATTTCAAGGTCAGAATCTTTAATACGAACGTCAAGACAGTCCTACTGTATGGAGCTGAAACGTGGAGAACTACTGCGACCATCATCAGGAAGGTACAAGTATTTATAAACAGTTGTCTACGCAAAATACTCAACATCCACTGGCCGGATACTATCAGCAACAGCGTTTTATGGGAGAGGACAAACCAGCTTCCAGCTGAAGAGGAAATTAGGAAAAGACGTTGGAAGTGGATCGGACATACATTAAGGAAATCACCAATGTGCATCACGACTCAATCCCTAACTTGGAATCCGGAAGGGAAGCGGAAAAGAGGAAGGCCAAAGAACACACTACGCCGGGAAATAGGAGCCGATATGAAAAGGCTGAATAGTAACTGGAAAGAACTGGAAAGGAAGGCTCAGGACAGAGTTGGATGGAGAATGCTGGTGAGCGGCCTTTGCTCCTCCACATGGGGTAACAGGCGTAAGTAAGTAAGTGCCTGAGAATTTCATTAACATCTTAAAGGCCCTGTATACGAACACCTCAGGCAGAGTGAGGGCATACAACCACCTTTCTCCCTTGTTCCATTCGAGCAGTGGGGTTAGGCAGGGTTGCCCGATCTCACCATTCCTCTTCAACTTTGCCATCGACGACATCCTGGAAACAGCTCTGGTGGATGTAAGTAATGGCGGTGTGGATATGTTGCCTGGGGAACGACTTCTCGACCTTGAGTATGCGGATGATATTGTCTTACTGTGCGATAATACCCAAGGCATGCAATCAGCACTTAATCAGTTGGCAATCAGTGTCCGCAGGTACGGCATGTGCTTTGCACCCTCCAAGTGCAAAGTACTCCTACAAGACTGGCAGGATTCTCATCCTGTACTCACCCTGGACGGTGAGCAGATCGAAGTAGTTGAGAAGTTCGTGTATCTAGGTAGCTATATAAGTGCTGGTGGTGGCGTGAGTGATGAGATTGATGCACGTATAATGAAAGCCAGAGCGGCTTATGCCAATCTGGGCCATCTTTGGCGCCTTCGTGATGTTAGTCTGGCTGTAAAAGGTCGGATCTACAACGCGTCGGTGAGAGCAGTTTTGCTCTATGCTTGTGAAACCTGTCCTCTCCAAGTTGAGGATGTTAGACGTCTCTCTGTGTTCGATCATCGTTGTCTCCGAAGGATTGCTGACATTCAGTGGCAACACCATGTTAGTAATGCAGAGGTTTGGCATCGTGTGTTCGGGCGCAGAGACGATAATTCAATTGGTGTCACCATCTTGAAACACCGACTTCCGTGGCTTGGACATGTTTTACGAATGTCGTCCCAGAGACTTCCACGTCGTGCATTATTTGCCGACCCTGGGACTGGTTGGAAAAAGCGGAGAGGAGGTCAGTGTATGACATAGTGTCGTGGCATGAAAGAAAGCTGCAAAGGGCTAGCTTCCGCTGGTCCTTCACGACTCCCTGGTTGGGGTCCGAGAGATGGTGCAACACAGTGGCTAGAGACGTTGTACATTTCAGTCCGCCTTATCTTTTCATCCCTTCTCTTCCTACTTTCATTATTTTGTGTGGCGCATATGTACCTGGTGCCCTTTTGTACCAATATATATGTGTTTAAATAAAATAAAATGAAATTTTAGTAGTGCCTGTTCTGCCCTTGTATCTAGTGCTATGCCTACACCTGCAATTCCACGAGAACTAGCCAACGGGTAGCCAGATACACGGAGGGTGTATTTCGTTGGCTGTCCATTTTGGCGAGGTGAGGTCAAGTGAATGACCACACTAGGATCCTGTATGCGTGTTTCGGAGATACGGCATACATTAATGGTACGAGATTCTAGGGTTTTAGCTAAGGAGGCCTGTTGACCGATTTGACTTAGGGTACGTACGTTGAAGGCTCCAATGTGTAGTTTGGAGAGAGGTTTTAGTAGACCTGGGACAGCGTTTCGCGCACTAGAATCGTTGGCCATGGTGACACTTGAGGAGGAAACCGGAACAGGAAGTTTAGTGTTGAAAGTCAAGGTAGAAGGAATAGTAGGAATTGAAGAAGGAGATTGATTATGAATACGGTGGTCTTGAGTGCTGTTAGGGGTATGAGGGCAGTTATCACTTCCCGGTTGCCCACACCGTGGATGGGTTCTTCTAGGAGTACCTGAAAAGGAAATTGGGTTAGAAGTGGTCTTAATGACCTGAGAGCGTGACCGCAGTGCCCAAGGGACAACTGCTTGAGGTCGGTCACACACGACCTTTTTGTGGGTAGTTTTTGTGTTAGCTCCGTTCTTCAAAGGACCTTACCGCCGGAGACGGATATCCGTGGGATAAGGCGAGGTGTGCATTTTTAGGGTTTACCTTTTCTAACCCCACCCCTCCTTGTGGGAAGGCAGCATCGCTGTCATGCTGGTTGTCTAAAGGAAACACCTTACTGCTGTCACACCTCTGTACAGTCAGCAGTACGACTCCGCCTTCGGACCTTGGATTTGCTGCTTTTAGTCTCACCGCTCTTCAAACGACCTGCCTGGCATGGTAGGACCTTGAGGAACGATTGTTCCAGCCAGTATAGCTCGATTGACTCATCACGATAGGCAAACCCAACCACCACGTCAAGGTAGCAGCAACGGTCGGGGGGAGCACAACATAAAACAGATAATTATTGTTATGCAGAAACAAGCCACAGGTGCCAATGAAACTGGAGAATCTGTAAATAACTGACTGACAAATTGGGAAATATACGAAATTTCTTGTTTTCTCATATTAGAAACTAGCTACTCTTATTGCTCAGTATATCTTGGACACTGTTTTTCTCAACAAGTCCTCAAATCAGAACACGGTTGAACAAGGACGTAATAGTATTCCAAATAACAAGGGTGGATGGGAGTAGAAATCATAATAAGAAAGACATTAGTATATTTATAATTGTAACATAAGTAGGTTCTTGAGTCTTCCTCAAGTCTCTGCTATCGCTGATTGGTTGAGAAATACTCAATCAGCGTGCCCCAACGCAGTTGTGCGTGGGATATGTTTTCATCCAATCTGATCTCGCTAACAAGCGTGGAGATAGTCAATTTGCAAAAACAAGCTTATAACAAACCGGAAATACAAATATGGTATTTCAATAATTTAGTAGTTGTGTAATAAACAGATATACACATATATTGAAAGTCCATAAAATATTTTCCAGAGTAACCATTTCTTAAATCTTCGTCCTCTTATAACAAGGTTCTTTGATCACTAGATGAATTATTAAAAGATTAAGCACTCATGATGATTCCTGAATATTCTAGGTTCATTCCTCCGTGGGGTTGTGGATGAACACTACTAAGTAGTCTCACATTGCATTGAAACAGCTCCTTAATACTTCCTGGTTTTAAAGTCAAATCATTCATAGAGGTCTGTGATTTAACTAGTTACTGGATGGATTTTTTAAAAGTACATACATCTTATTCTAAATGAAATGTTGAAGTTTGTGTTGACACTAACAATCTGGATTGACACCAAATTGTTTGGTTTCAGTTCAAAACCAGTCATTTCATTTAAATCTCACTCAAATTCGTTAGGGAAACATTTTGCATAATAATTTAGTTAAAGTTAGGAATACCTCAAACAGTATTTTTTTGCTAAACAGATTAAAATGATATTATAACTATGGAACTAGATATTCTGTATTATTGTTCATGCATAGTCACAATCACCAAATATTGACTGACCTGGTATGTTACATTATTTTTAGTGATTTAAACAATAAAAATACAAACATCACTTTAACAATATTTTAAATTGTAATATACTTAGTGACAAAGTTATTTAATGTTGTGTCTTTTTTCTAATTTTGTAGTTGCTTGATAAGTATGGTACTGAAGGAAAAATGTCACTAGAACAATTTGGACGATTTTTTGAACAACCATAATTATAATGGAACATGAATAGTACTTATAATTAAACAACGCTTTTTCACTTATTTGTTTGTAGAAGAAATGAGTGAGATATAACTAACTTCTGATTTGTTTTTGAGATAGTTGAGTTCACAAAACAAATTTAATATATATACATATATGTAAGTCAGCTTTATTCCCAACATACGGCTTGTTTTGATAAAAAACTGTCTATAAAGCATTCCTACACACATGTGATCTTTCATAGGAAAGAGGAATGCACCAATGATTTTTGTTGCGCGCTATTTCATAAGTTTTATGAAATACCTGTTCCATATACTTTTCAGTACATTAAGATTGAATTAGCGTTTCTCATTAAAAGAGCTGCATGAAAGACAGAAGAATGCGTTAGTAACTAAACTAGCCAGCATTGTTACCTAGTCTTCTAATTTTTTCTCGATGATAAAAATTTACATTATTAGTGACTTATGTCGTGTAATCAATAATTCACCAGGATATTTCCTATCTATCATAACTGAGGTCGGTGTAATATTGGAAACTCGAAAAATGCTCTCATGATATTCAGTTATCTTTCCAATAACGTATGATGCTGACCACGTCAGAGACAACTTCAATTTGTTATCTCCACAATTTTTAGGTTTATGTATTTACAAAACAATCAAGTTTGAAAATGCAACCCTATTGGACTAAGGGAACATGAGTTCCAGTAGTCCATGCTTCTTAGACTGGAAAGATTTGTAGAAAAAAAAGCACTTAGGGATAATCAAATGTGTTTCAGGGTTCGCATTAGAAGTGGAGTGGATTGATCTCTTTTAGTACTATTTACAGGTGTTCTATTGAATCAGTTGTTTGTATGTAAAATGATATGTACTACCTGATTATTAGTAAACTACAAAAGTTTTGGTCCTAAACCAAAGACAAATTTACTAAATACAGTGAAATGAGCACATTTTATCCGAAAAACAAAACACAAGCGATGTTTACATCATTATAAAAGTCTTATTGAAGAGACGCTATAGCTAAGTTGGCAAGTATTAACGAGTCCCATAAATAAGTCAAATCAACAACCACAAAAATTAAAAGTACCAAATACATGTTTTATTGAAATTACTAATAAGATGTGTATAAACTGTGCAGTAAATAAACGGAGAGAGAAAAACAAGGTATTTAAAATCTTAAAAGTAAATCATCAACAATGACAAAAAGTCCCACCCAGTAAACAAATTAAAGGTGAAAGAAAAGAAATTTCCTCTTAAAAATGCAAGATTTAATTTTCTGTACACAACAGCAGACATTCCAAAAACTGACAAAAGTTGTAATATCAGTAAAACTATCTCATGAGTGCTAAAATACGAAATTCCAATTGTAAAAATGCAATGGGCAATGCAAAAGAACAAAACATCTAAAGAATTAATGATAACGATAATTAAAAACGACAGAAAACTGACAAATTAAAGTAAAACAAGGTGCTGTAAACAACATTATTACCGCGGTATTTAACGCCTATAAGAATAATCATAAAAATTTATGGAGAATATGTAATGTTCACCAGTTTCAAGAGCAGATAGATAAGAATGAAAAACGTTCTCCCGTTTACAGTAATAGAATTAAGTTGTGAAATTCAAAGCGAACAAATAAAAATACGATGTAGTCGTTTTATTGATTATCGTCAAAAAAAGCAATGAGTGGATAGGTAAAGAAACATGCGTACGTACACATCTCTATACACATGTAAATTATATGATTATAAGGATATTTTTATTAATGATATATAAATATACATATAATGTAAATGCAAATGTTGACAAGAAATAAAATGAAGAATATATAATTCTCCCGAATAACGAATGCGTAATAGTTAGCAATAAATGTCAGGCAATAAATCTTGATGAATATAGAAATTAAAAATAGTGGCAGTAATAATAATATAATTATGATGCAAATAATTTCGACTAAAATAAGCGAGATATATCGATTATTATAATAATGATTATAATAATTAAAAAAACAAGTAATCTTTACTGTCAAAAATGGAAATAAAACAAAATTATTCAAATATGTTTGTTTACTCACTTAATTGAAATAAGTGAATGAACGAATACAGATAATATGGTGAATATTATCAAATTTATACAGCATATAAATGCTGCAGCGCATTGAATGTGTGTCCATGTTAGCTATGCGATGATCAATCTATCTAATATGTTAAAAGATAAGTTATGATGACAAAAAAAAGGTTATTGGGATTAAAAATATAAAGAAGATTTACTGTAATAAACAAAATTAATTTAAAGGAAGCTTTAATAGAAAATAAATAACTGCTGCTTTAAAACAATTTGTTTTGTTTTAAGTTTAACTGCGACCTACAAAAGATTGAAATGTATCAATTCTGAACATCGGGTGGTGAAAGAGGAGCTGCCAGAACTTTCTCATGTAACCGGAATCGATCAACTATTAATGGTCTAACATCATCCTGAAAGAAAATGTGAACATATTCGATTTTAAAACTGAGAAACATAGTCAAAAACATATCATTTCATCAAAAATTTACTACGATTTATAGATGACACGCATATGAGCCAAAACACTACGAGGTTATTCAAAGTCGACTAAGTTTAGCACGACATAGTTGTCTAGTATTCGGTTTCAAACCACTTAATAAACTTGATATATCTTATCATATTAGCAACAATATTATACATACATATATAAAATGTAGGTTTGCTGTTTTTATATGACGGAATTTTCGGTTGTCAAAATCAATGAATAGGATGTTAATCGATCAATGAGCGCTGTGATATAGCTTGAGTGGGTGGTATCTACTCATAAGATCGTATTTTTGAATTGAGCAATCGAATGATTAGAAATCAAAGACAGGACCACTAGTCAAATGAAGTTTTTCATGTACTAAAATAACATGATTTGCAGAATGCAAACGCAAAAGAAACATGACAAGATAGCCATAGGTGATTGGAGAAAATTAGCTTGTAGATCACTCATTGTTCTCCAAGTAATTAAGGAGTCTATTAGGTCTGGTTTTGGAGCATCATATCATAGTCACATACACTCAAACGTGCTACAAATAAGTGTTTGAGTGGAGCATTAACTAGTGATTGAAATATGAATTTTGGCTAACAGAATCGACAACTTAATGGTTTAAAATTATCGGTGTCAGAATTACTAAAGGAACTTCACGTGAACAAATTCATAGAAATTAAAGTAAAAAGCTGGTATTCACTCAAAACTAGTTTCAGAATATCACAGTCATTACCATAAACAGTAAAAAAAGTGGTATGAGAAGAAAACATTAGATTGAAATAACATAAACAAATATGATCGATAATAACCATAAATACTTACGGCTTTAGTTATTTCTTTTAAAAACGGAATAAGTTTAAGGAGTTCACAATCATTTGAATCAACAAACCAACTTTCAATTGGAACACCATTATCCAGCTGGGAATATGAAAATGCAGAAATAAAGATTTATTCATTATTAACATTATGTCGCAAGTTCTCCAATATGCCAAAAATGAAATAAACCAATAACTATATTCTAAACTGAACTTTACCTGTTGGAAAGATACAGAATACTACTACTACGCTATGAAAATGGACATTAAAATAAATATAGTTTCCATTTGTCAAACTGGAGTCATAAAAGCCATTTCACCGATAAATGTGAGCAAGTTAAAGTAAAGTCTGTAAATGATCACACAAATAAGAACATAGAGCATGTAAATTTATTTTGTTAAATCAATGACTAGTCGCTAGCACAGAGACGACCATAAGTTAGATGGTCAAACATGTAATAGAATGCTTTTTCTTAAGACTGACAATTAAAAAGCTAAACAGGATTTCTGGAGGTGAATTCGCCAGACGTTAGAACACCGTCACCAACACAAGTCTCTATCATGAAGTCAGGCAGGATTAACAGATGGGTCAATACTAAGTGGGTTAACAAATGTTGTTATAATATAGGTATAATAAACAGTTACAAAGGAAAGGTTATGTCCTTAGCTTGCACAATTGTCGCGAAATACGATTACCAATTAGACACACTGACTTTACGACCAAACTAATGATGCACACACCAGCACGAGCAGCCTAGAGTTCCGGTTGGTCCTTTTTCCGTCTAGCCCTGCCCGATAAGTCCAGAACGCCAATCTGAGCTTCCGCAATATGAATAATATATTTCAAACATACTGGATTTATATACAAACAAATCCGATCACATCACACCATAAGATAGAAAATAACATTTGTACAAAATCTAGCCCAAAGTACCTGTGATTGTGAGATGTTACTAATAAATTGGGAATACCTCAAGAATAGTAAATCGTATGATAATAGTCAGTAGGTCAAATAAAGGTTTATAATATAGTCAATAGTCATACAATAAGAATGGACGTATAGTATTAGTCCATAAGTAATTCCTAACGGTTACCATTCATTTATTCTCGTCCGGGTATGAGAAAAAGTATTTCCATCGTCACTGCTAATCAAACCTCATTATTCAATAACCACGCATTTTGAGTGCCGACCTTTCTGATGACTGTTTTCATAAATTCACCACTGTGTGTGCAGTGTTATTAACACATATTAATAATTACATTGCTACGAATAGAATTAGATTAACACTGGAAACCAAGATCCACCAACAAATTTGAATCAAATGATCCATAAAAGTCACATGAAGCAAGAATCAGCATCATCATAGCTTCCTTATATGGATGACTGACTCCTTACTGTGACTCTAATAGTAGGCAGATATAAACAGAAACAATGAGACAACTATATTAGTCACATCCAAAGTTAGCGCACCAAGAGGAGATAAGTGAAAAAACCAAATGAATAAAAACTGATATCAATTACACACTTATGCTGGTAGAAATAATCATGTAATGGCGCACTAAAAACATTTTGCAAAAGAATACTGTAATAACACATTTGTTGAAGGCAATTAATAACAATAAACCAAATACCTGATAGCCGAACGCCTGAGGAGAATTATCAATAATCACAGTTTTGCGGAGGTCTCGACCTAGGACTCGTAAGTCTTTGACGTAATTACCATTTACACAGACACAATGTTCACGGAATAATCTATGCCTAAAACGGGGAAAATTTTGTAACTTAGTATTTATATGTCAAAGTGTAACAAGCTCTTACCGAAAAAGTGCAACCTGGTACAAAAATAGTTACAATAAGATGAAAAAGAAGTGTATTGTTGGAAAGAATAACGGTATCATAATCAGTTAGTCAGTCAGCGACAACGTAGGACCAGGCACATATATGCATCGGTCCAAGTTGCCATACCTCGTTAGCACAACAAGATGAACACCGGATTCATAGAAGTAATTAATTTAGTGGTGGTAGTATATAAAGAAAGGTTGGATATAAGGATATAGTATAGGAAGACAGATATGAAGCTATTTTAATCTCAAGGTTTAAGGGAAGATAAAGAGTGTATACAACTACGACATTGTGATCGATTCTGAGCCATGTCACACAGAGTCTCCAACCATTGGTTACGATAGTCACGCGGACCCCAATCAGGTAGTCTGCATCTGCCAACATGGCTCAGACTAGAAGTTAGTGAATTCAAGCACTGATGCCATGTTTTGGTTTGGCCACCCCTAACTCTCTTCCAACCATACCCTACACTAATCAACATTGCGCGTCGTGGTAATCAATGTTCAGGCATACGTAACACGTGGCCCAACCATCTCAGTCGATGAAGATTCATCACCTCATCAACTGATTTACCATCATTCCCTAATACCCTGCGTTTAACCTCACTATTACTTACCCGGTGATCAGAGCAGATGCGAGCAATATTTCTAAGGCATCTGTGGTCAAATACTAGTAACTTACGAGTATCTTCTACTCTTAATGGCCATGTTTCGCAGCCGTAAAGTAGAACAGAGCGAACTGCTGCGCAGTATACTCGTCCCTTAATTGATAGACGGATATCTCGTCTTCGCCATAGGTCACGTAAGTTGGCAAAAGCCAAACGAGCTTTTTGAATCCGTGCTGAGATTTCGTCAAACACCAACCCATTAGGGCTGATAAGACTTCCGAGATAAGTGAAGTTGTCCACGCGTTCGACTACTTCACTCCCTATCCTTAGTTCAGGTGTTGATGCAGGCCAGTCCTGGAGTAACAATTTACATTTGAATGGGGAGAATCGCATCCCAAACATCCTGGCATTATTACTGAGTTCTAACAAGACTGCATTTTGTCAGCGTCTTTACCAAACAGGACTATGTCATCTGCGTATTCTAAGTCGATAAGTGAACCTCCTGGTAGAAGATCAATTCCTGAAAATTCAGTCGACGAGAGTGTTATTTCCAGCAACAGGTCTGTAATGAAGTTAAACAAAAATGGGGATAGTGGACAGTCTTGACGGACACCACTTGAGGTTGTAAAATCATATGACAGTTCGTCATAAGCTCTCACTCGACTGGTAGTGTTCGAGTAAAGAGTCTTCACAAGGTTTATGTACTTCTCAGGTACACCTTTCAATGACAGACACTGTCATAGAACCTCTCGGTCTACAGAGTCAAATGCTGCTTTTAAGTTGAGAAAAACTATCATAGTCGGACGCCGATAAGCATGTCTGTGTCATAATACATCAACATCACTAAACTGCAATGGTAATCCAATTTCTACGCCTCCGAGAATATATCCTACACTTAATCAGGAGTGAAACAATACAGGGAAACCCACAGCCATGTTAACATGTCTAAAATTATAAAAATTGGCGAAAGTAAACAAACTTCTAAGAAAATTTATTCAAAATTATCAAATCAAAACTTGGTAATGATACCTACAAACTTCCAAGACATTTGAAGTATGTGATATACTATTTTTATGAGGACTAGCTGAAACTGGGAATTAAACCAATGCTTCTTCCTAAAAGAAATTTGAGTGGCATCTAACGTACCATCGAGGATAATACTGAGTCTCGCTCATAATCAACCTTCAGGAAATTAACAGGTTGACTACAATTCAATGTAACAGAAGACATTAGGTTCCGTAGTAATCAAAAAGGTTACAGTAACATGAGCTGTGATTGACAATAAAACGTCAATTTAAAATAACAAATACAATGATAAAAATGCTAGTTTGTAGGTCTATGGGATAATAAACATGTAACAGATAAAGTGCGCAGAACAAAAACAACTTACTTGATCCATTTCTTTTTAGGATCGATCAAGTTTACGAGTCGATCAGCGTATACTTTCGTGCTAGCTGTAAAAAGCACAACTTCGAAATGTTCAGAAACATTGGTAAGAAATTCGTATAAGTGTGGTCGAATTCGGACGTACACCTGAATAGCGTAAAAAAAAGTTGCAAAGATCCACTGCAACACATAATCTATATACCAACTTAGCATTCATGTAAACGTAGTTCTATGGTAAACTAAGCGAGGTGAATAAAGTAAACAGTTTTTAATAGCCGATATTATAATGAGAGAAAATCTAATATATAGGATATGATATGATGCTCCAAAACCAGACCTAATAGACTCCTTAATTACTTGGAGAACAATGAGTGATCTACAAGCTAATTTTCTCCAATCACCTATGGCTATCTTGTCATGTTTCTTTTGCGTTTGCATTCTGCAAATCATGTTATTTTAGTACATGAAAAACTTCATTTGACTAGTGGTCCTGTCTTTGATTTCTAATCATTCGATTGCTCAATTCAAAAATACGATCTTATGAGTAGATACCACCCACTCAAGCTATATCACAGCGCTCATTGATCGATTAACATCCTATTCATTGATTTTGACAACCGAAAATTCCGTCAAATCAAAACACAAAACGTCCTCCAAAACAGGATACATGCTATAACTATGACAGCAATCCTGTGATCTAATGCTATATTCTGACTTGGATAACATTAGGAAAATACAATTTGATAACGTACCATGTAGACAACACCTTGGAAAACAACTTGGAAAATAAACTGAGCGTCCAAAAGAGGGTTTAGACTACAATGAACCAAAGTTTCATCTAAATCAAGAACTAAGCAAAACTCTGGAGAGGAGCGAGTTTTTTTCGGCAGCGCTGGTGGACGACAAATAATATCAGGAGGCAGTGGTGGGAGGCTGCGGATGAAGGCATATCTGGAAATAAAAGTGCGAAACGAATGAAACTTCTACAACACTATGTTAAACAATAAACCTCCAATAAAATAACTGGAACAGTGGGCAGTGGATAAATCTTACAGTCACTGATAATAACCAGATAAAAGTAGAATGCAGTATTAATGTTCACAAGAACTTACAACTGAGAGTAAAATGAGGATCTTAGTAACAACTCATTTGGCAATGTACTAAGATGCAACTGGTACCTAACGAATTGGAGGGAGGCAAATGTATGGTGAAAAGTGAAATGAAAAACTCAACTAATTTATTGAATCGCCAAGAAAAAATTGGACCACGGATTTCAGTGGACTTTCTTAAGTGATAGGGCATTAAGCGAAGCATGCCGATAGTATAGTCGAGATCTAAAATTACTCAGCTTTTTTTTCATTCGGATTCATACGCTTTATCTGGGGTGTGGGGAAATTATTCACCACTGCACCATATCTAACATGGACCGCTTGGTCACTATCCTAATCTGGGTAAAATGTAGATCAAACTTCATGGGGACGAGTTGCGTAATCTGAAATTAATAGACGATTTTTGTATTAAATAAAATATAGTCAAGAAAAGTCCCTGAAAATCTTGTTCTTGCGGTTTAAATTTATCGAGAGATCAATGAAGTTTTTTGGTTAAGGAGATTTGTCCCTTACACGTGAAATGTAACAGAAAACGATGGTCTAAGGCGTGTGATAATGCTTACAGTCTTTTTAAGCAAAAGCTTTGAGGAAAAGCAGTCTAGAGAACGCAACCGCACTAACACCTTAAGGAAACCAGAGGTGAGGTAAGTGCTAGTAAGATTATTGACATAAAAACTAGTTACGTCTGGTCACAAAAATAAGATGCTAGTATTACTTAGTTTAACTGGCCTTCAGGTATTTTACATTGTTGACAAGGGAGGTCACTGGTGATCTGTAAATGTGGGGACTTACGCATCAGCTTCTTCGAAATCTCCGTCATCGCACTCTTCAATTGCAGAGATTTCCGTAGAAAGTTCTTGCGGAGGAGCGATAGAAGACGAAGAATCACTTGGTTCACTTTCCTCGTCGGAAGGTTGCATAGTTTCATCCTCGCCAATAAATCCAACCTCCCTGAATAAGTGAGGTTTAATATCATTAGGTGAATCGACTTGTTGATCCGAACTAGTAATCAAATTCGGAAAAGTAAATCGCTCAGTGCATTCAATAAGTGTAACACTTTGGTTTGGTTTTTCAGGTAAGTAATTGTTTGTACTAATTTCCACCAATGATTCTGTTTTCGATGTACTTTGTAGCTTTGATAATATACGACCATTTTCTGAATTATCATGAAGGTTTTGACAGTTATGATATAACTGTTCGTCAGCATTTTCGCAAGAATCAGAAACACACAACGGTGAAGGTAAATTTGGAGGGTCTATGAAGTTATTATGGTGAATTTTCGTATGAGCAGAATTATGATTACAAACTGAAGGGACCTGAATATCTACATTATCTGGCAGCTGAAATGTAACAAAAACACGTTTCGTTATGGGGATAATGTTTTAGCTGTGAACGAATAGAAAGTATGAGGTGACACTAAGATTTAGGAGAATAAATTTAAAAGTCCTCATAACTTTCAACTATGGATTATGGTTAGTTTGAATTTAAATTAAATTCCAGTAGCCGTTATGAGACTCTACATATAAAATAAGTTACTAACAGTTGATTGTATAATGTTACGAAACAATAGAAGAATGAACGACATAACCAGTATAAAATCAATACTTACATTTTGGTTAGTCACACTTTGAGATTCCGGGATAGGCGCTTTGTGGACTTTCCGCGCTCTTGGTTTTGCGACTAAAGTGGGGAGATAAATTAAAATACTATCACTTTAATACATAACTTGGAAAAAACACCAACCACAAACCGAATAACTGTATCAGTCAGTATTTCTAAACAGTTGAGTCAAAACCTGACTCTAACTGGTTTTGATTCCTTCAAAAGGATAGTCAATACTTATCTGTGAAAAGCTGCAACTATAAGATTCCTAGTAGCGTAACCTCAGTAACATGTTGCTGGGTTTGATTTAATTCTTAAATATGATCACGCAGAATCAATGAACCACCAAAATAACACAAGTCAGTCAGTCAGTTACAACGTAGAACTTCGTACGTACGTACATCAGTTCGAGTTGCCATACCACATTACCACAGAGATGAAGTTGTCGATTCAAATCCCATATTGGTAGAAGTAGTAGGAGTATAAGTATTATGTGAAAGATAAGGGTTTGAAGATGTTATTGAAGGAGTATAATACAGTGAAATAAATTTGGAAAGAGAAAAAGGATACGGACATGAAGAATTCAGATTAGAATTTGGTAGAACACAAAGAGTGTATGCACACAAAAACATACATGTAGGCTCTTGATGAGAGGATATTTAGTTATCAGAATATCAGGACTAATGTGACATATAAGTATGAGCATGTCTATATCACGTTTTTTTAGTACAGATAAATACTGCCCTCCCATCCCACCATCAGCAATCAATGAACGATGTAGAATCTGCTGGGATGACATTCGTAACACAAATCCAAGCTACTGAAGTCGATGTTTCAGGGTGATAAATCGAATTATCATCTACGACCCCACCGATAGCAAACCTTGAGATCATCAATGGGTGCTGCTTCTGGACATCAGCGATCCTTTGGAGACAATGGTGATCGAGTATAGGGAGTTGCCGAACATCCTTGACTTGAAAAATACAGGTCCTTCGTGTATGGAGCAGGACTGAACCGAAGGATTGTAGACCCAACCTATGCTTGGTGGGGAACTACTTTCGATAGGTAGATACAATTCCTTTGACTGAAGACTTTTAATGAAAACTGTACCTTTTTACAGCTGACAAGAGTAAATTATTAAGTGCATCGTGATATATGAGGAGGGATAATGTATAGACACCAACAAATTCATTGCCATAACGATGAGTACACACGTGAATACATACGATTCTAAAATCGGTGATCTAGAATTTTAAAATGTTATTCATTTACTAAACGATTTAGACGGGTACTAACTACAGACTACCAGTAACTTTATGTACTTAAGATACTAAGGTTTTACAAATGAATGTTATGTCTGTGAAAATCTCAGCGACGAAAACTAAATGATTTTTACTAATCTATCTGGTCCGAGGAGCTTTAGGGAAATTATTAAAATCCTGATGTTTTACACTAAGAGCCTAAACGCTCTGAAGATGTACATCTAAATAAGAAAGATCCCAATATACCAGGATGTTGAAACGTATAGGGAAAACGGACACTGAATGACTAGACTATAATTTATGGACGAATCAGTCGGATTTAGGAATAACAGGTCTCGGATTTTAGTACTAAACTCATTTGATTAAATTGCGTTTTGGCATTTTAGGTTATGTCAGTTAGTGATGAAAACCATAAACTTAACTTCTAGTCCTAAAAATTGGTTGTAAATCATAACTCATTCTTTAAACTGCTGTGTAACCCTCATTTAGCCTTAGTAAGTAGGTGGGCATTCTCAAACTCATTAAGGAAACGCTCAGTTTGCCCATAGATAATAGTCTCACCAGTTTCGGACTAACTTTTGAACAAGGTACAACAGAGAATTAACTAGATCGTCAGGAGGTATAGCGTCTAACACCTTATTTATAAGCTCGTGAGGAAAACTCATCCCTCGACAGAAACTCACCTGACGGAGGTCCCGTTGGTTTGCGACCGGATTTCTGAAAAGTTATACATTCTTGGTGCTTTTTAGTCCTCGTTGGGGTTGTTCTAGGATCCTTTCTTCTTAAAGGATAGCTTGATACACTGAGACGCTTTCTGGCAGACCAGTTGTGAATTTTGCGAAGCATTGTAATGAATATTCGTTTTTTTGTTGAAATTAAGTAGTGTGAGGGCAGTTAAAAGCTTAGAAAATTGTCTCGTACAAGATGTGTGAATGCTTTCAGCTGATAAGCCAATAGGATTTATTAGGTAAACTGAATTATAACTCCAAGCCAGTGGTCTCCTCAACAATCAACACGGAGCATCACATCTCAAACACTAGATTAAGCCAAATGTTGGGTTTGTAAGTCGAATTAGTGAAAAGAGTAGTCTGCAACCATAATTGCGACTGACAATAAAATAAATCCCAAGATCACTAAAACCTCCAGCGGCTAACAGTTCGAAAGGCTGCCAAAAACAGTTATGAACTGACTTAAACAAGCATAAAATTTTGTTGTTAAGACTCTTCAGGGTGATATAGTAACCAGATGAGGAGGAATGAAATCATTCATTGCAATGGAATATTACCATGAAGACTAACCGTACCACAAAACTCTCTGGGTTTTTACATCTTATTTTATCACCATTTTAATTACTCTACATAGCGCAGGTGTCACCTGACATGATTACAACCACTCTATAATTATGGTGGCAAATCTTTTACTCCTTCTCGAAACAGAGTAGGATCTGTGAAAGCAAAGCGCGACTTCTCAGACAATGGGTCATTTTAACAGGTACGTCGCAATTATTATGCACACTAGTGGTGTTTCGGAACCTGACGACACTTTAAAGAAGGATATTCCTAATCGTGGATATCAAACAGGAAAACAAATGTTGGATCAGCTTTTCAACAACATTGAGCTGCAACACAGTTCAGTAACCGAAATATAGCTACGTAAGCGAGAGGTCACTGGTCAACAGATCTTCGACGAGGGTCTGTCTAAAATGTTCTTCTTGTCTAAGCTTCTTCAACAGGTGCAGGCAGTTCTCAGTTCATTTCAAAATAACGCTGGAGACAACTTGGTTGCATACGCCAACCGAGTTCTCGAGATCTTTAGAACTTTCAGCTCAGAGGTTTATTCTGTCAAAGAAAAGACTCGAATGATGGGATGCAACGTCGTTGATTTCCATCATTCTCTCACTCATCATCTTAATATTCATTATAATTGTGGACCCTAGAGAACTCCTCGACGAAGCTCGTTACAAAGACGAGTTATCTGTAGACAACGAAAGTCATATAATTCCGACTGATTTTGGCAACACAATGAATATGGCAAGACTTCTGAAAATGTCAGGAAACCTCACAGTTTTCCAGCCTCAAATGGTTCAAATGGTTCAAATGGTTGGGGACGGAATAGAAGAAGCTTTCGCTTAACGGGCTTCCGTGTCTGGTAGCAGTGGATCACCAATACCTCCAGGCAAGAACCTAGGTATATGAACGATAATAGAGGGAAAAAAGAATTTGGTAAATCATAATAATATGTTATCCTTAGTCCTTAAGAATAAGTCAAGTTTTCTCTTAAAGGACTCCTGGGAGGTCGCTTGGACTAGCTCAGTCGGCAGCGAATTCCAGCACTTGACAACTCCAACGGAGTAGAAGTTGTGTCTGCAGTCCGTTCTGCTATGTGGGGTCTCCAATTTCTGGGTGTTACCTCTGAGGTTAGTGTTATGACTAAGCTTAAGAAGTTGTTTAAGGGGATGACCAGAAGTATTAAGGATACTATAAGTCATAAGATCACCTCTAAGACGCCTATACTCTAACGGGTAAAGGTTAAGTGATTTGAGGCGCTCTTCATGAGGCTTGAATTTGAGACCCCGAACTGATTTCGTGGCTCGACGTTGTATACGTTCCAGAGTGACCTTATCCTTTTGGAGGGAGGGAGGAAATACTATGTTTCCGTACTCTAAGTGGGGACGAATAAAACTGTTGAAGATTATATGGAAGGTTCTACCGTCAAACTGGCCAAAAATGCGCTTCAATGTTACCAGTGCAAGGTTTGCTTGAGAGGCGTTTTTGTCACAGTTCGCATACGATTTCAGGTCGTAGGGTACCAACACTCCTAAATCTTTTTCAACTTGGGAAACTTCTAGAGGTGAGTTACCTAAGTTATAACTATAGTCTGCAACATGTCTCAGATGGACTACCTTGCACTTTAAAGTGTTGAAGGTAAGTCCGTTGTCGTCTGCCCAACTTTGAAGTCGAGTCAGATCCTCCTGAAGAACTAGTATATCATTGTGATTACCTATCTCTCTCCAAAGTTTCACATCATCAGCAAAAAGCAATAAATCAGATGAAACTTGTTGAGGAAGATCGTTAATATAAATCAAGGAGAGAAGAGGTCCTAGTATTGAACCCTGGGGGACCCCACTAGGACATTCCATAGCCTGAGAGAGAGTGAAGTTAACCCTGACCCTAAAGTGTCGGTTTTCTAGGTATGAAGAGAGCCAGTCAAGTAAAGGGGGTTTTATACCCAATCGTCCAAGCTTCTTGATAAGACATGCATGGTTGACCCTATCAAAAGCTTTTGAGAAGTCCAGGTAGATGACGTCAACCTTCCCCTTGCGATCAAGGATGGTTGTCCATCTATCCACCGCAGTCAGCAGGTTGGTCATACAAGAATGACCTTTTCTGAAACCATGCTGTTGAGGTTAGAAGAACTTTGAGGATGATAAGTGTTCTAGTATGTCGTCGAATACTAGGGATTCCATAATTTTGGAAGGTATGGAGAGAAGGGCCACTGGTCGGTAGCTTGAGGGTTCACTGCGTCGACATCCTTTGAAAATTGGTGTGATGTGGGCCAGCTTCCATATTTCCGGTAGTTTGCCTCTGCTTAGCGAGTGTGCAAACATCACGCTAAGTGGTGTCGCCAGGAATGAAGCTGCTTCCCTCAATACAGCGGAATGAACCATGTCCGGACCAGGAGAAGTGTCTTTTTTAGGTTCTGCAGTTTACGGAGCACCAGGTCAGCACTCAGGTCCACTTCGGAAAGTCCTGTACAGGTGCAGGTGAAGCTTTCGTCAGTATGGTTGATGTGGGTCAGTTGGAATGTCCGGGAGTAATGTTCGGCCAAAAGGTTAGCGGAATCACTGTCGTTATTGGTCGGGCCATTAGGACCAAGCAGTTGGGAAACTCCAGTTTTGCCTTGTCGAAGAGAAGCTGCATAACTGAACAAGCTTTTCGGATTGGAGACGAATCTATCGATAAGCTTGGTCTGGAACTGTAGCCTGTCTTCTCTTATTGCCTTTGTGCATATGTTCCTTATGTGTTTGTATTGCCTGTACGCGCCGTTGTTATTAGTTCGTTTATATTCAGCCCAACAGTGCCTTTTGCGGCTTAGCAAACGACGAGTGCGGTTCTTGATGATTGCAGGTTGCTTGTAGCTTTTTGGGACCATTTTAGGAACTGAATGCTCAGTAGCACATAAGATCGTGTGCAGTAAAAAATCCCAATGAGCATCCACTTCAATTTGAGGGCGAACATCCCAATCCACCTGTTGAAGATAGTCCTGTAAAGCTAACACATTCAACCGTTTGAGGTTCCAGCGCTTGTTGCTAGAAGGATATCGTAGTTCCGTCTTGCTGACAAAGCTGAATGACAAGACGGCGTGATCACTTTTCCCCAGGAGAGCCATGATTGAGAGGTCGTCAACTAGGAATTCTTCATTTGTGAATACCCAGTCTAAGCGTGACGGCGTCTGACTGTTTCTCCAACGGGTTGCCGACTTCACATTTTCAAATAATCCCAGGTCACCGATAAGGTTGAAGAACAGAGCTTCAGTAGAGTTGGCACCACCAATGTATGTATGTTCCACGAAGTTGATTCTAGGGAGATTGAAATCCCCTAGAATCAGGATATGAGAGAATCCGAGACGCGTAGATCAAGTTAATCCTTCCAGCAGACGTTTGTCATACTCGATGTCGGCAGTGGGCTACCTGTAAACGACCCCAAATAGGCACCTCGAGGTGGTAGATAATCTTACTGAGCACCATACTGACTCGTCAAGATTGTGAAACTCTTGGTTGTGAAGTTGGTGCGCATCCAGGCATAACCGTACGTATAGTGCTACCCCACCCCCCATTCCTGTTTTTCTGTTTTTGCGAAATAAAGACATCCCAGTTATTGCTAACTCTTGGTCCGTAAACTGAGACGTTATCCAAGTTTCGGATGTTCCTATCAGATGGGCATCATTAGCATTGCTAAGTTCACGTAGCTCATCCATTTTGTTTGGCAAGCTTGCGGCGTTCGTGTATAGGCAGTTTATGCTTTCAATTTGGAACGCGTGAGCCTCTTCTTGTTTGTCTATATGAGCCGTGTGTGAGTGGACAGGTAGCCTACCTATACGATGTTTACCGAGTTGGTAGTCCCTGTCCTTTACACGTTTTTTTTATGATCAAGACAGTCCACGAGTGGAATTGTCAGCTCCAGCTTTCGTTTGTGCTTGATCCTGCTGTCGTGGGGCCTATCCGGATGCATATGGATGCCAGTTGGCAACCGACGTCTATTGGCACGAAATGCTTCCAGAGTTGCAGCCGCCATGTGGGAGGAGGGGAAGGTTATCTTCAGCAGCCGGGGCCTAGAGTCTCCATCTCTCTCGGCCAGTCTCATTACCTGTTGGGTCAATATGTTCTTGAGTTTTAAGGAATGCTTGATGAATTTGCATTCCCGAATATCAGAGTTTGCTTGAGCTGGGTCCATATTTTCCGGCACACCTTGCACAATGATATTTCGTCCACGGAAAAACGCCTCGCGAGATTCATTAGGGATGTTCCGGATGAGATTTCGTTCAGAATACGGTATGTCGGGCAGTATTCTTACGTTCCCATCGGACTTCAGTAAGTGACTGGCTAGCAGGACGTCCTCTACGTCGGAGGCATTCTTAAGTGTAACACGAAGCAGCCTCGGGTGGTTTAGGTGGTTAGAGTCCTTCCCCCAAGTGAGCCGTGTGACGGTCAAAGGCTCTATTCTAGGGAGTTCAAGCCTCTTGATTAATTCTCCCCAGAGCATCCTATCGTTTTTGTCCTGCAAACTGAGAGGAAGGTCGGGGTTGTCAATAAGGTTCATGATTATGACAGAGTCGTCACGAACCGCAATTGATTTCGCAGGTTTTCCAGGGCGTCTAGGTTTGGTATCTTGTTGTTTGTATGTCGAGGCGCGTTTTCGATTCCTGGGCTCAGTGATGACCGGGCGGACAGTCTTGGGTGTAGACTGTGCGGCCAAAGCATCAATTGATTTACGCACGATACTTGGGACGTTCAGTTTCGGAGGGGACGCTTGGGCTTTATTACTCCTGTTAACGTGAGTCCATTCACCTACAGGATTTTTGGGAACCACTGTCTCGTTCAAGGACCGTTCCCCGGGGGACCCAAGTTTACTGAGGGAGTCGATGACAGTCGATGTTAAGATGGTGCTGAGTTTCAGCACATC